TGTTTTTTTTTTACCCCTCTGAGTGTGTTTGCTCTTGCAGGCAAAGTCTAGTGTGGGTATTTGTTTTTACAGATGAATGTTTAGACTGCTCCGTCTCCCTCTCTGGACCTTCCCGCTTTCACTCGTCATCCTCTGTCTGTGCAGTCGGAGCTGTCTTGCAGTTGAAAACGTACAGGTGCTTGCGCTTCATTTTCCAGGAAGGAGCAGAAGCTACAGTGCAAGACACAAACACTAGGAGAGCAACAGCCTAAATTAACTCCTTCTTCCAGGCTCATGCACCATTTGACCAGTGACTTCTCTTTTCCTCTTGACTCTTCCTCTTGTCTTATTTTTTTGTAATGATTCTCTCCTCTGAACTCTGCCATCATTTCGAGCTTTGGTGCGTTGCTTTGACGCAAGACGTGACTGTTGTAGGGTTTAAACTCGTTTGACCTCTGCTGCTGTGAATGGACAGTGTTTGGACAGCACTCCAGCCTATCATCTCCCACATGCTCCCTTTCTGTCCCACTTTGTCTCCCTTACTGTAATTGGTGTCAGAGCCAACACTAGGATTTGGATGAGGCATGAGCTAACAATGTGAGCATGCCCTTACTTGGCTAAAGCTCCTATCTTATGACATCCTTCTTTGGAACACCTACCAGTGGACTGGCTGCAGACCTGCACTGGCCCCTTGTGTTAATCAAAGGGCATTACACCATATCTGTCTCTCACAGTTGACGCATCTGTTCTCTAGCAGTCTGAAAAGGTGATCAAATGTTGCATAAGCGGACTCAGAGAAGCATTTGTGTTAGCTCGTTTAAGCTTCGATTCGACCAAAGATTATCATGACTGTAGGATTCTCTTATTGTTAAACTTTTACTGTGCCCTTTTTCAGGCTTCGTTAGACTTTTAGTCAGATGATGTGTCAACGGAAATTGAAAACCTCGCATGATTGCTATCTTGAATCTCAAACTGAAGAAAAAGCATGAAGTCAGTTTCCCCACTTTTTGCCTAAAATGACACAAAAGATTCAAGTTCTTCTCATTGTTTCCGTAAACTTGTCCTTGAAGCTCTTGTATAGACTTCTGATTCATTTTCCCATTGAGAAAGAGCTATTTCCTGTTGAGTTGAGCCTTTTCCTTCTACGCTGTCCACAGCTAATCGGTCCCCTGCTCATATGCATTTTTTATAACTTTACTTCCCATTTTGCTTAGCATACAGGAAGGTTGTATCTGTTGCGGTATTGCATACAGAGTTGTTGGCTAACTGACACAGGCTCACATAGAAGCAAGTGTCTAAGTGTGACTGTCACAGAGGTTCACTGACACCCAGTGACAGCATCAGTGACATGGAAGTATCTGGACACAGACATGTGGAGGTTCTTATTCCGCACCAAAACCCGCATGGCAGAGGCAAGTAGATGCTTTTATTTCATGTGTGCGTGTTATGAACCTCCGCTTGTTACAAAGTGGGCAGCTGCGTGTGAGTGTGGTCAGGTGAAGAATGTGCTGGGGACTTGCCGAAAGCTTTAGGGTGTGCTTGGTGTGTGTGTGTGTGTGTGTGTGTGTGTGTGTGTGTGTGTGTGTGTGTGTTGCGTGATATTTTGGGAGGGATGAAGGGGTTTCCTCTGTGAGGGTGGATGTGAGAGTTTTCATCTTCCCAGCTGTGAATTGACGGGAAACAAAGGAGGATGTGGATGGAGGATCTTCCACCTCCTCCAACCTCAAAAATCATAAAAAATTTTATTTTCAATGCTAGGGTTAATGCTTCACTGAAGATTCTGCCTTTTCACTCAACCGGTGTAGCAAATTTAAAAGTTAGATGCTCAGTTTTTTCATCTTTGCGTTTTGGCCAAGTCATGGTATTAATGCAATCAAACTGAAACTGATCTGCAAAACCACAAAAAATATGTGTGAGGCCATGAAGTGTGAATACTCTTTTTCTTTTTCTTTTTTTTTATCTCCCACACACCATGTGACTTCATTTCAAAAGACAGCTGTTCCTGAGTACTCTAGATTCCGGATAACACGAGAACCTTTATAAATAGTTAGTCATAACGCTGAATTTCAGCTTCTTCTCTGCAACAGCTGTCATGCTTGTAAACTCAGCTCTTCTGTGTAGTTGGTTATCTAGTTATCGAGCAGGAAGGATGTGAGATCAGTTCAAGAAAAGAGGAAGTGAGAAGTAGGAGGGAAGAGAAGTTTCCTGTCACTAATGTGGCCCTATTCTACCCTCTTCTCTGTGTGTGTGTGTGTGTGCGTGTGTGCATGTGTGCATGTGTTAATGAGATGTACCTGCAGCAAGCCTGTATGAAGAGGTACAAATGTACCTGTTGCAAAACCCGTCATGTTTTACGTAACTCATGTTAACTGCTCCATTCAAACACTTCCTAGAACGAGTCTCATATCACCTGGATAGAGAGGGACTATGCCACTATTAGAGCCCAGGTAAGCTCTCACCACCTGTGTACTGTTGCTTTTAAATCCGTTCATTCTGCAGCTCCTCCCTCGCTAAACAAACACTACATCCTGCTTCATCCATGTCACATTGTATTTCCTTTTTCTTTTTTTTTCTCGTCTCCCCACCCTCTGGAAAATGTACTCTCCCATCACAAAATTGTTAAGCAAATAACCTTTTCTGAGCACAGGCTGCAGTGCAGGTTCGCTGCCAGCCAAGTAACGCTGCTCTTTGGTCAAGAGGAGTTGACTCATGCTCTATATACAGGCGCGTAATGGCGTATTCTCTCAGGTTAAAGAAGTGTTTGCTGTATAAACGGCAATAAAGTGAGCAATGGAGGAAAGTAAGAGGATCTCAAGACCACTTTACGAGCAGCGAGAGCTGTGTTAGGAGACAGGATGAGCAGGAACAGGACTGTTAAGAGGGGGAAGAGAGCAACATGCCTGGCCACAGACAGGAAAATCTCTGTCATCCAGAGGCAGTGAGTTGTCTGAATCCTCTCTGGTGTGTTGACACCGAGAGGGGACACATCATCCTCTCTCTGCCATCCTCCTCCACGCTGGCCTCTGTGTTGAATTATGGGTAAAGGGAAGTGGCACAGAGTTGGGTTCTTGAGTCTGTAAAATTACTGATAATGCAAGCAAATTTATTCAAGAAAGCATTTAATTGGCATTTTCTTTTTACTTTTTCTCCACCTCTATCTCTTTTTTGTGCTTCTTTTGAGTTTCAGTGTACTCCTGTTGCTCGCTTGCTCTCTCTCTCTCTTTCTCTCTCTCACTCTCTCTCTCTTTCAGCCGCACAGATGTGTGTGTGTGTTAGAGAGAGAGTGTGACAAGAAGTTGGGTGCAGGACTGTGAGAATATAGCAGGCTCTTCCTTCCTGCTCGCTTCGGTTCCAGTTCATTTCAGCTGCAGTCATTCACCGAAGGCACACCGGTCTAATCAGACAGACACAGAGGCAGGGAGCGAGCAAGGACCGGAGATAGAATGGAAGAGAACATGAAGATGAAGCACTGAAGGAAATTTAGCAGAAGGCCTCTGCAGTCGACTAAAGAGCAGAGGCTGAGAGACTTTTCAATATTTATCTGCAGTCCACACAACGAATCCTAACATGAAAGCACAAACGATCTTAAAGTGTGCTCTCGGTGAGATGAGGTGAGATTTGAGATGATTATATGAGAGGTAGAAGAGTGTGTACCTTGTTATGGATGAAGGTAGGATGATACAACACTCTGGGAAATGCTGAGATGGAGAAGGACAAGAGAAAGTTCAACCTGACTCGCATGCTGTCCATCTACTTGTTCAAAAAGAACAAATCCTTGACTGGCAGCCCTGCTCACTGTAACACCTACAGACCCACGGCGGCAACGGACAACGACACTGGCACTTTACCTCCGCCGGAGAACCACTGGACGGTAAAGTGACACCTCCTGATATTGACATCTCGATCAGCTTTGAGTAGTTAAGTCGTCGACAGAGCGTTCAGTGGCGTCGTCTTAATGAAACTGAGTTTTAAGAAAATGAGGAGAAAAGAGGGATTCATCAGCACAGCAAAGTGCAAACGAGGTTTTGTATTCGCTCTTGTCGCGGTTGTTCAGAAAACAAGGTGCAACTGAAAGCCTGCTGTGTTCAGCCAACTCTGGTTTCCTGTTGTCAAATTAAGTCCCAGGCTGCAGTGGTCTGTGGTGATGGCGGTGGCTGTTGTTTTGTAGAAACTTTTAAAAAGCTGAAAGAAGAGACTGCTGAAAATATGTCTTTCATCACTTCTTTGAAATATTGATTATGCAACGGTCAGCTGATTGCACTTTATTTTTTGTTTGGTTGTTTTTTTTAAATAACTTGTAATGGCCAAGTGTAACTTTATTCAGGATCCATGGTAATAGTGTAAACCTGAACATGCCTATAAAGGAGAAATTAGGAGCAGGACAGCCCAGATGTTCTGCTTTCTGATCCCTGAGATTTGGATTTCATAGGCAGAAGTAGGGGAAAAGTCTTTCCCCTGAAACTGCACTGGTGAATCTAAAATTCTCCCAGCAGGGTACCTACTGTACTTTGCTTCATCACAGGGCCCGAGGTGTGAAATTCAAGGAAGATTATCAAGGGAGGGGAACACTCTTGAAAGAGAATTCTCTGCATCGTTGTTATTGTTGTTGAGTTTTGGGTGAGGCTGACACCAGGTCAGCTGCGCGTGTTCATGTGGTGGAGCTATGAGCGGTGTCAGCTGGGATCCACCCAGTTGTGAGAGTGCGCTTGCTGTGAACTTGCTTTTACACAGATCTACTTCCACTGAATATTTACACCACCAGTTCCCGTGTGCTAAAAGCAAATAAACGCATCGATAAGCAACTGTTTGTGCTCACGTGCACATCTCACTTCTTACCATGCTTCCTCTTTTTTTGAAATGTATTATATTGACAGCAGGAGGCACCTCCACAGGAGAACTTATCTTTGCATAAGCAAGCGGCTTGTGAAATTTTTATTTTTTTTTTTGCAGCTGTGCAGTATTGCTGTCGTTCTGTGATCATTGACTGCTTTCCCTCCGTCTGTTTTCTTTTCACTCTTTAGGAAGATGGAGACATCAAAGAGATCAACATCACCCATGTGGTCAAGGAGGGCTCAGAGAAAGCTGATGCCTCTCAGTTTGAACTGCTCAAAGTCCTGGGACAGGGATCCTTTGGCAAGGTAATTTGCTTTTACTCTTTCGGTTTCTTTCTATTTTGACTACATGTCTATTTTTCTCTTCCTCCTTTGCTACTCTTACTCCCCAACCTACAAAAATCGTTGCATCTTTAACAGTGTTTTTGGTGTTTGTTATATTTTTGGGGGGAATTTTTTTTGAAAAAAAATTATTTTGCAGGTGTTCCTGGTACGAAAGGTGACTCCTCCCGATGCTAACCAGCTCTATGCCATGAAGGTCCTCAAGAAGGCCACACTAAAAGGTACAGCAACGTCAGGCTTGGCTATGGTCGTGAAATTTTAAGAATTGCTACTTTTCTCTGTTTTGGCTTTTGGCTTCATTGACAGGGAAAAAAAAACAAAGAAAAGTGAGTGAGTTGGGTTTTTTTGTTTTTTGTAGAGCTGCACCTTTTACCTTTCCGGTGATGTTGATTTGAAAAGGCCTTGTGTTTGGCAATTTCATTTTTCAAGTGGTTGTTTAGTTTCATATAAAAGGGTGTATGAATTTCCTGTAACACATGCAGTGGTATGTGTGCATAGTAAGACCACCACTGCTTTCAGTGGGTTCCTATGAACAGGTGTTGTGGTCTCACCTTCTGCAAACATCGGGGCATCAGATTTCTTCTCATCATCTCCCAAAATCACGTGGGTGGTTCTGTGCAGCTTTGCAAATTTAACAGGGACCTGTTACTCTCATTTAAATCTCCGTGTTTTTATTCTTTAACAGCTTTTCATGACTAGCAGGTCAAATTGATCATAATTCGCCTTATTTTGGGTGTAGCTCCTCTCTGTCTGAAATTCGCTATTTTACATTCCTTCCCTTTTGCTTGAAGTCAGCTTTTTTCTGATTGGCTGCCCATGGTGAAGTTTTTAAGCAGCAGCTGAGTTAATCTACTGTGCTCAGAGTCGCAGTTGCATGCACAAAATCCCCAAATTTAGGTCATCATTAACATTCAGCACTGACCCCATTATTTAAGTTTGGCTATGCTTTAATTTGAGGATCCTCTCCTATTGCAGCTTAATGAGTCCAAGTTGAATTGTACTCTCATCAGCACCAGCATTTAGTGTGTTGTAGTACTTTTACCATACTCTGTGCTTACGTACAGACACGTTATAAATCTTTAATGCATACTATCACACTAACCCTCGATCATTGGCCTTCAGTCAGAGACCGTGTGAGGACCAAGATGGAGCGAGACATTTTGGCAGACGTCAATCACCCATTTGTTGTCAAACTGCACTATGGTGAGTCAGCCTGATGCTTTTGTTAGACTCTGCTTCCCTTCCCTCTTATTAATGTTATTTGATGTACTGACTTGATTTACTGTTTTATTACTTCAACTTCCAGAAGCTTAACTCTTGCTTCCTGATTTACAGTTGAACTAAATGTGAATTTGTGCATCTGTAGCATTCCAGACTGAAGGGAAGCTGTACTTGATCCTGGACTTTCTCAGAGGAGGGGATCTTTTTACTAGACTCTCCAAAGAGGTAAAAAAAAAGAAAAAGAAAAAAAAGAAGTGACTACTTAGTGTTGTTATGCTGACCTGAGGTCAGGATTTCTTTTTCTCAGTCCTATGTCCACTTATTTATCCTATAAACTGATATGTGCTTACCCATTTATTCTGCATTGTGTCACTCTGCGGTGTTATGCTCTCTTATTGTCTCATTTTCCTTTTCTTTGTGTGTCACATCCTCTCTCTTCTTTGTCTCCTTTACCCCTCAGGTGATGTTCACAGAAGAGGATGTGAAGTTTTACCTAGCAGAACTGGCATTAGGACTGGACCACCTTCATAGCTTGGGTATCATTTACAGGGACCTCAAACCTGAAAAGTAAGAGTGGAAAACCAAGCGTTTTGCATGCCATGCTGCAGGAAATGTATAATGACAAATATATATAAAAATATACACACAGTGCATCAGTCATAAACGTCTCCAAGTTAGATTAATCCAGAAGAACAGCATGCATTTCAGTGAGTGTGGGAAAAGTGTCTTCCCTGCTGCAGACCTGTAGCCACAACCCCAGACAGCAGTGATGACTTCAAAGTGCAACAATTTCCTCCTGTCATATTTCTATTGCACTCACTGCAAAGTATTTTTTACTTGTTGAACCCTGCACCATTTTCATTAGCTTGTGTTCCCTCACTCTCTGCTGTAATTGGCACATCGGTACTTGTTATGGTACATTGCTGCCACCAGCTGTCGATGCTTGTTCCTCAGCGTGTGCTGTGCACAGCACTCGATCTCATAGTATGCATGTAAGACCCGACACCGTCGCTAATTTAAAGAGCCGGTGATTCATTTATGTGTTGCTTTTTAAAATTTTGGTGCTTTTGAATGCTAACATGTTGTATTGAAACTGAAACGTGTTTTTATAACTTTGACCACCACATACGGACTGCTATATTAGCCTTCAGTTGTTTTTAAGGGTACCTAATGATCCGACAGCCGAGTATACTTTGACACCAAGACATACTACAACTGAGCAAAGCATACAGCAAAGAAAAGTTTACTTTGTACAATCCAGATGGGTAAAATGTTCAGACTCTGTAAGATTTTAGTTTGTCTTATATGTGACATTGTTTTCTCCTAGCATTCTTCTGGATGAGGAGGGACACATCAAACTCACAGGTGAGCCTCATTGTTGTTTCTTTTACATCTACCTCTCACTATTCATTTTGCACACACACTTTCCTTTCCTCTACCACATTGACCTTGATTCACAGCAGTGATGGCTTTATCTCACTGACTCGTATCTCCATAACAACCTGTATATGTTCCCCAAGTTAATTATAATACTTTATCTTGAATATCTGTGATAAACCTCTTTAGAATCTCTTATCCTCAACCAGAGGAAACGAATGATAATTAAGAAGTCGCCTTAACAGAGCTCTTGTGGGAAAACTGTTTCATGTTAAAGCTTTTTGTAGCTATTATCGTGCTGCTATATAATATAATATAAGGATCCAGGTCCTTGGTTAATGTCTTGTGTGTTTTCAGATTTCGGCCTGTGTAAAGAAGCCATTGATCATGAGAAGAAAGCTTATTCCTTCTGTGGCACTGTGGAGTACATGGCACCAGAGGTCGTGAACAGGCAGGGACACACCCACAGCGCCGACTGGTGGTCGTTCGGGGTACTAATGGTAAGGAGGAAAAAACGTACTGGCTGAGCGTAAATATTACGTAAATAAATATGCCGATTACATTTTTTGTGTTTTCTCTCCCAGTTTGAGATGCTGACGGGGGCGTTGCCATTTCAAGGGAAGGACCGCAAAGAAACCATGAATCTCATTCTGAAGTGAGTACCACCTGGATTCAAGAACATCACTCATTTTTTCTTTTCTTTTAACTACTTACTCATGTCCATCAGCAAAAGCGTGTGAGTGGACTAGAGCCTATCCCACCTCACTTTGGGTGAGAGATGTGGGCTACACCTTGGACAGGAAGTCGGTAAATTACAGGGCTAACACAGTTAGACAGCTGAGCAGGCACATTCACAACTACATCTGAAGTCAATTTACAATGACCAGCTAAGTAGCTCTCAAACGTTTTGTGGCACGCCCCCCATTTGTAGGCTGAAAAAAGTTTTTTTTTTTTTTTTGTTTTTTTTCTCCCTCGCTCAGGAATCCCTTTTACCAACTTATTTTAATTCAGTTGTTTTCCCAGATTGTCCATGCCCAACCTGCATAGGCGGTCAGGTGGGGTATGACGTCCTAAACAGGCTCTCAGCTTAAGAACTAACCCGGAGAGTAAATTTGCAGGCACATGGAGAACACGGAAAAACTCAATTCAACACAAAAACCTGTTGCCAAATGTACTTATTCCAACATATTCCAACTGCCTCATTCTATATCCGGTGCAATAATTAAAGCTGGAAGCCCTCTTTGTGTGTTTGTGCAGGGCTCGTCTTGGAATGCCTCAGTTCCTGAGTGCAGAGGCCCAATCTTTGCTCAGGGCTTTGTTCAAAAGGAACCCTGCCAACAGACTGGGTTAGTATCAGCTCTGGAACATGACTTTGACAAATGACGGTACACACTCTATCTGATTTCACAGGGAAAGGCTGTGCTTTACATTGGTTTGTAGTTTTCTATTGTGATTGATTCTATTTGATGTTTTGCAGGATCTAATGCCGATGGCGCTGAGGAGATTAAGCGGCACGGTTTCTTCTCAACCATAGACTGGAATGTGAGTTCTGTGTGATTACATATGTGTTTGAATTTATAGCAACCATCACAGGTGGCATTCAGAACTTCAACTGCACAGCGTGAGTTAAGCTTCTTTATTCCTTTTTAGAAACTCTTCCGAAAAGAAGCAAAGCCTCCGTTCAGACCAGCGGTCGCACGTCCGGATGACACTTTCTACTTCGACTCCGAATTCACCTCCCGCACACCTAAAGGTCGAAAATCAAAAATCAATACACATTTTTTTTATTTAAAGGAGACACAGCAACATTGGGATGCACTAACATATTTGTGATTAGCTGTGCTTGTCAATAATACCTCAATGTGAAGTTTTTATAGCAGTGCCTTTTTTGTTTTCTAACATTACTGCAATAAACCTGTCTGTTTTTCCGAAGCCTTTATTTTTATTTATTATCCTGCAGACTCCCCTGGTGTACCCCCCAGTGCTGGAGCTCACCAGCTCTTCAGAGGCTTCAGCTTTGTTGCATCAACTCTGTTAGAGGAGGATGGTTCATCAGAGCCAGTGCAGGCCCCACCACATCCAGTGGTTCAGGTCAGTAGCTATTCACTCTTGGGATAGATAAATACTGGATACTGGAGCCTGTTCTGGCAGGACACAAAGAAAACCGAGAAATTTCCCCTATGACTCCTTTGGCAACAGTGGGAGGGGAAAAAACTCCCTTCTAACAGGAAGAAGCCTCCAACAGAACCGGGTTTAGGGAGGGGCAGCCATCTGCTGCGACTGGTTGGAGGTGATGGGAGGAAGTTAGGTTAACTGGTCATTTAGAGTGTCCAGTCAACTAAGTGCATGTCTTTGGACCCTGGGAGAAAGTCGGAATACCTGGAAAGAACAAACTCATGACATGGGAAGAAATTGCAAACACCACACAGAAATTCCCCGGCTAGATGGTGGTGAGGCAGCCGTGCCAACCACCACACACTGTGCTGCCCGCAACATGATCAACAGTAACTCGACACACTAAAACTGAACAATGGAAGATTATAATAATATTGGCTGGTGTGATGAGTGTGAATTCGAATAGTAGGGTTTGGCACACTTCAGGCCCCTTAGTTATTCTCACATTGTATCCATCTTCTGATGGCTGTTATCAGCAGGAAAACAGACCACATCACAAGGCTCAAATCATCTCAAACTGGTTTTCTGAACATGACAGTGAATTCATTGTACTCAAATGGCCTCCACTGTCATCAGATCTCAACCCAATAGAGCATCTGTGCACTCGAAAATTTGCAACATGGGTGTGCAGCTGGAAAATGCGCAGCAGCTGTGAGATTAAATCATGTCACTATGAACTAAAACCGCTGACGAATGTTTTCAGTTCCTTGTTGATTCTATGCTATGAAGAACTAAAGCATTTCTGAAAGTAAAAGGGAAGTGAGCCTAGTAATTAGTACCTGATGAAGTAGTCGGTGAATATGCCCATGTACTGTAATCTAAAGGTGTGGACAAAGTTATTTCAGTGTGTTATATTTCTGTCGAGTTCTGACTGCTGATGGCATGAAATAGAGACAGATTCTGTGTGTACGGTGTGCGAAAGGCAGACAGGAACACGATTAGAAAGAAACGACTCAGATGAGGTACACGGCTTCAAATCTTGTGTAATGCCTGGCAAAAGCAGTTTTTCTACTGCGTGTGTGGTAGATTTGAAGAGACACTTTGACAAAGAGGAAGAAATTGACTCCAGAAATAGATTTCAGCCCCTTCCCCAACATCATCAACCTCCCCCCACATGAGCTCTTGTCAGTCCGTCACTCCTCCAACGCTCATCACAATTTCAAATCTTCCTCTGCAGCAACTACACGGGAAAAACGTCCTTTTCAGCGATGGCTACGTACTGAAGGAAGATATAGGGATGGGCTCTTTCTCCGTCTGTAAACGTTGTATCCACAAAGCCACCAACACTGAATACGCTGTCAAGGTATGAACACATAAACACACACACAGGGAAAAGTTAGCTTGTGAATACAGGACAGCAAAATCTAACAAATATGTTTTTCAGTAGTTCTTCAGTAAAAGAAGGAGGAAAATATGCAGCCTTTCAAAAACATGATCCTAATGCCGTTGTTGTGCTTTTGATTTCCAGATGATTGACAAGACTAGCACAGACCCCTCTGAGGAAATAGAGATTCTGCTTAGATACGGACAGCACCCTAACATCATAACACTCAAGGATGTGGGTCTAAACACGCACTCTGTCTGACAACCTTTGTTCGCCTTGGGTGTTGAGTGTAATAAGACTCGCTGATGTTTGTTTGTCTTTCTGTCGCAGGTGTACGACAACGGTAAGCAGGTGTTCATGGTGACGGAGCTGATGCGTGGAGGAGAGCTGCTGGATCGGATCCTCAAGCAGAAGTTCTTTTCGGAGCGAGAGGCCAGCGCTGTGCTACACACTATCACCAAGACTGCTGAGTACCTCCACTCACAAGGGGTGAGGACCACTAAGACCACTAGGACTTTTAGTCCTGTTTTATATGTATGTTTTGTCTAAGGAGCTTGAAAAGAAAAGCCTTTTGGACTTCTTTGAGTTTCTTGAAGACGTTTCACCTCACCTGAGAAGCTTCTCAGTTCTAAGGTCAAATGGTGGAGAGTCCCAGATTGAAGTCCTAGGGGAGTGTCCCCCGAAGAGGGTCATGAACCCCCTTGTTGATCCTCTACCTAAACGCACGAGCCAAGGTGTGAAAACGGATGTAGGTCACAATCGGCCAAGGTTTCGGGTGAACCCGCTTTGAAACCTAGCCCCACCATATCATGTGACTTTGAGGTCAAATGGCATCTATTGAACCGGTTCTTTTATTCTGAAATGGCAAACCTGTGAAGCACACAATGGGTTTTTTAAAATTATTTTCTGGAGCTGTATTTGAGCAATAGTGTTTTATCAAAATAACTGCTGTGAAATAGCTCTGTCTTTTAGAAATATTAGTTAAGGTGCTATTAGAGTTTAGTTATTTGATGTTCATTTTGCTTTTTTAAGAAAACTGTTGAATAGTAGTGCCTTTGAAAACCAGGCTAAAGTCTTTACTTTTCTTTTTCTTTTTACTTTTTTATGTTTCCTGATGTTTAAAAACTTACAACACATGTCTACTTTTGTTTACTTTTTATGAATTTCTAGCTTGAAGATGTCAAACTGTGTTCATCCTTTTAATTATTTTGGTTTAGTAACAACACATAGGGGAATAATCACTTGAAGCACCTCGGTAAATAATTCAACTTCTGATTAGAATAAAATTGAAAATAATTTATAGAAGACATTTTTAAAGCAGATAAAAATGGGAAAGAATTCCACCCAAGAGTGTTTACTGACACTTTCAATCCTAATTTTCTCCCTCCATTCCACTCTTGCCCTCTTGTGTTTCAGGTAGTGCACAGAGACCTGAAGCCCAGCAACATCCTCTATGTCGACGAGTCGGGGAATCCCGAGTCAATCAGAATCTGTGACTTCGGCTTTGCTAAGCAACTGCGTGCCAACAATGGCCTGCTAATGACCCCGTGCTATACTGCTAACTTTGTAGCTCCTGAGGTGAGCAAGTGACGAGTGCGCTCGCAAGACATACTCACAAAAGTCAAGGTTCCCCCAGTCATTGTGATATATAGTAATATGTGATTCCTTCTGACTCTGCTATAGGTGCTGAAGCGTCAGGGCTATGATGAGGGATGTGACATCTGGAGTCTCGGGGTTTTGCTGTACACCATGCTGGCTGGGTTAGTAGGAACACTTGAAATCATTCTTTGAACTTTGTTCTCTCTCATTATTCTTTGCATTAACCTTACCGTCTGTCTACTTTTGTTCTCACCAGTTTCACTCCATTTGCCAACGGACCTGAAGACACTCCAAATGAAATCCTGAACAGGATAGGCCACGGCCACTTCAGTCTGACTGGTGGTAACTGGGACTCTGTGTCTGATGCCGCCAAGGTAGGAGTCAATATTTGTTAGACAACTCTTTTACTCCCTAGAAAGAATTTTTTGTTGTATTTGCGTCAACCTACAAGTTTTCCATAATATTATTATTTGGCTTTTTCTAGGACCTGGTGTCCAAGATGCTTCACGTTGACCCCCATCAGAGACTGACTGCTAAGCAGGTTCTCAAACACCCATGGATTGTCCGCAGAGACAAGCTGCCCAACAGCCAGCTCCCACACCAGGACCCCAAGCTGGTCAAGGTAACAAAACTGCCTGGAATCAGGTTAAAGGAATTCATTGATTCATTGAAGTTTTAGTAGTTGAAACTCAACATGTAGAATGATTTTATATCATATCAGTTCCTTTTAGTGTCACCAAAATACCAATATGATTGTACACTGCAATATACTCGCATCGTGTGTTGCATTGTCGATTAGAAAACACAAGACGAGCGGGTTTTTTGCATTGCAGTAAATCAGACAACATATCAGTAATTCATACTCTCATCTGGGCTTCAATCATGATGTTGCTCTTTATGCACAGGGTGCAATGGCAGCCACCTACTCCGCCCTGAAGAACTCACAACCTACTCCAGAGCTCAAGCCCATTGAGAGCTCCTTCCTTGCTCAGAGGCGTGTTAAGAAACTTCCCTCCACATCTCTGTAGAGACTCTGAATAGCCAAACAGGTCACAGGAGTCTGATCAAAACCACACCTCCTGGCTCCAAACCACCCCGTCAGCTTGCTCGGGGACTTGGTGTCGACCCGCCAATACCAGCCAAGGAACACTGACTGTGGTCCTGCCCCCATCTTGTGACATCAGTTGTCCCGCTCTAGCTATCATCCTCCTTGTGTGGGCTCGCCAGCTGCAGCTGTTAGCCGATCTCCTTTTGCCTATCAAAATATCATGACGATGGATGGGGGCAATGAGGGCGAAAAAAAAAAAATGTAAAAAAAAAATGGGTGCAGGTTTTTTGGCAGATGTTCTGGCGCCGTGTGGGTGTTTGTGCGAGTGTGTGAGCGTGTTTGTGCATGACCCGCTACAGAGTCGATGCAGCCCTGTTTTTGATGGTGACAATGAAAGTTTTCTCTTCTCATCTTTGCTGTAATTGGTTGTCATTCTCGCTGCACGCCTATCCATCTGCCTGTTTTTTGGGTTTTTTGCCGTCTGTCCGTTCTTTTTGTAGGGTTTTTGAGCTTCGTATTAGCGGTTGTGCTGCCAATTCAACCTGTGCCGACAGCACAAAACCACAGTACTGTCCAAACTGCTGTTAAATGTTTCTCAGAGAACGTTATTGATATGAATATTAAAACATTTCTGCCATAAATGCCTCTTTGGCTTTGGTACAGCCAGAATATGTGCATTCTAGAAAATGTCAGTTGCTGATGTTTTGGTTAGTGTCAATCTATGCTTGCGTTTTGTTTTATGGGGAGTGTGTGCGGACGCGTGCGTGTGTGTGTGGGCGTGTGTGTCAGTTGCATGACTTGCAGTGTGTGTCTGTACTGTCTCGCGGGATGCTGCAGAGTCATGTGCATGGTCCGGTGATGTGGCTTTCTCGTTTCGCTCCTATTCCTCTTCTCTGCTTGGTCAATCTGCTGGCAACCATTTGAGATGTCTGTTATTTTTATTACTATAAAAACTAGTAACATAGATGGCTTTCTGTGAAAGAAACCCTGCCCAAGGAACAATGTGGCATGTTAAAAATTCTATATTTGCATTGTTTTCTTTTTTTTTTTTAGTTGTTTTCACTGTGTTTCTTGGATAATGCCTATTGAATACTGTTTCCTGTGTTGGTTGTTTTTGCTGTCGATTGTTTGTTTTTTTTTCTCTTTATCCAAAGAAAGTAGTGATTTAAAATAGTGAAAGACATGCTGAGCACATCGCAGCCTGTGGACTTGATGCCGCACCGGTCTCTTCTTCTGTTTAATAAGTCAGGGCTGGCTGCTGTCTTTACGGAAATAAGCACTTGTTAAAATCTCTGTCAAATCACTGGTTATAATGTCACACATACTTGCCCTTATTGTGGATTATCTTTTTTTCATTCATTATATTGGAATTCCATTTGTTGATTATCTGACTCGTTGGTATTTTATTGACACTGAATACGAGGCCTAGAGTTAAAGGTGTCTCAGTGTAAGCTTCTCCACGGAGTAGGTCCTGCTTTTAGCTCAGTGCCTAGGCCTACAGGTGAGGCGGAATGTCTTGCATGGAAAGCACACCGTAAGGATAAGAAGATGCTGTGCATGTGTAGAAGAAAAGACCTGTGTGGCTTAAGAATCTATGAAGCAGCTGTCTTACCTCAAAAGAAATCAAAGTTATATTATAATTCTTGTTTGGTGGCAAAAAATCTCCCTCCTTTGTCAAAATTTATGGTAAGATGTTATTGTATGATAAAGATGAAGATTTTTATATCTTACAATATTAAAAATCGAGTTGCTATGACAAAGTGTCTGTCTTGCTTTATTGTTTTTTTTTAACTTCAAGTGACATTCAAGTGTATAAAAAAAACACAATTCCCAGATATAGAAATATGAAAAAAATATCACATTTTGAAACCTACAAAGAACACATAATACTGTAAGAGCAGTAGTACTTCTTATAACTAATAATTCTTTATGCATACAGTTTTTTGTGAGTAGCTGTTTTTCATCCACAAACAAGTATTGGTGCTGGACCCATCACTTGGTTATGCTGCTGTTGGCTCAGGCTGCTGACTTCCTTACACTGAGTACTTCTCCACTCCCGTCTTCTCACTCCCCAGTTGTTTACACAAGAAAACTGCACCCAATTAAAATGTCATCTCTCTCATAATGTGTGCCGGGGGGCTCCCATGATGCACTGAGTGTTTCCTCTTCACTGATCTCTTTCCACACTGTGTGTTTATCCACCATTTTGCATTTAATTATTAGTAACTATTAAAGTCTGACTCTCTCCTATAGTTCGCCTTTTGTCCTGTCTCCCTCTGTTCCTTTCTCATTTCCCTCACCCCCATCTGGTCGCGCTAGACGGCCGGACCTTCCATGAGCCTTGCTCTGCCAGAGGTTTCTTCATGTTAAAAGGGAGTTTTCATTGTCATCACGTGCTTATTCACAGGGGGTTATGTGATTGTTGGGGGGTTCTTTCTAATGTTATAGATACCAATCAACGTTCCCTCTAAGCTGCGCGCGTGCGCAATTGCGCACGGCTGGCACGGTCTCTGCGCACAGGAAAAAAAAATCTAACCTGAATTGAAATTAAAATTAATACTTTAATAATTCTGTTTTGCAGTGTTAGTCAGTAAGTGACTGGCTGCTCCCGTATGGGATTAGAACGATGCCACTTTATCCCATAGTCCAGCCAATGATGCGATTCACATTCGTATATATGCAGCTAATCAACGTTGTTGACAGGCTATGACAGCGTCCTTATGTGCCGACACCGGTGTTTTAGCAAAGCGGCGTGGCTGATGTGGAGTGAAGCCACGTTAATGACAATGTGTACAACCATTGGAGACGTGAGCAGGACAGACGGAACAATTGACGGGAAAAGTGTGGACTTTATACCAGTTTTTAAATTGTGTAAAACCAGAGTTATGATAAAAAAAAAAAATGCAATGTTTCGAAAGCACTCTCCGCCTGTGCCCAAAACCCAAAGAAAACCCCACCCTTTCCTATTGGTGGAAAAATCTACCATGTCGACCAATCAAAAAATGATATGGCAACATGGCATTTAGTTGTTTAGGAAGGGGGAAGTTTTAGGAGTGACGGCAGTGTTTTGAGATGTGAGATATTTGCGATGTTCAGTGCAAATCTTGTGTAGTTGGTGTGTAGTATAGTCAATAGTTTTCTTGTGTGTGTCAGAACAATGAGGCGACTGCTGAATGTTACAGGAGTGATAAATCTGCTGTTGTCAGGCTGTTGTTCTCTTTTATCTCATAGTGGACATAAATTATTTTTGGAGTGGCACAAATAATTTACATGGCATCAAATTTGATGCAGAACAGCTGATTGTTCTGTAAATAGTTTGAAATGTTTATTTAAAAAAAACTTGGCTGCATTTTTAGGTAAACAGCTGCAAAAAACTTTGTTGTTTGCATAACTCAGTTACCTTTTTGAAGACGTAATGATATAATTAACTGCCCAACATTGGTCATTATTTACTGTATTTTGCAGACAGAGTTACAGGACTCTCTCCCAGACCACAGACTCATAATACAAGTCAGAGCTTTATTTATTTATTTATTTATTTATTTATTTTATAAAAAAGAAAAGAAAAAAAGTTGTGTTTTCAAATTTGGAGCTCAAGATATTTTTACTTCCAATAGTGTTAACATACACAGGTCATGAAGAAGATTTTTTTAAAGTTTTCATTGTAAGTGGGCTAAAGCAGTTAATTAAAAGTAGTCTAACATAAATGTAAATGCTGTAATTGGATTATTTTAATAAACCGTGTGACTTGGATGGATTCGATGCTGGCGTGACCACAGTGCACACGTCTGCTGTTGCTCACAGAGGTCCAAGGGACCGCTCAGGGAGTTTAGAATAGAATAGAATAGAATTCAACTTTATTGTCATTGCACATGCACAGGTACAGGGCAACGAAATGCAGTTTGCATCCATCCAGAAGTGCTTTAGTGATATAGATATATTACAATATATATTAGCAATAGTATAGATATGTAAGTATATTACAGAAATGGGTCTATTATGGTATGTTATAATGTACACGGTATGAAGTATGTTGTGAATATGCTATAACTATAAGTATGTACAGGCTGTAGTGAGTACAAGCTATGAACAGGATATAAATATGAAAAACTATACAGAATATGAAATAAATAACTTTACAGAAATCTGAGATATACAGCTATACAGAAATGTGAACTATGGAAGTTGTAAACAGTTGTAGAATTAAAGATTATCGAATGTACAGAATGATTATTTACACAGAGCTATACAGTAGTGCAGTTAAGATAAGTGAGGGTGTAGATAGTTTCTACAGAGGCTATATAAAGTGCTAGTGGTTGTGAGTGGTGGTTCAGTCCATGTTATTATTGTGTGTTTGAGGGTACAGTTGTCCATTGTGGGTGTGTGTATGTTCAGTCCATATGTTAACGTGGGTCAGTGTTTGTGTGTTCGCTCAGACACATGAAAAATTAGAGGGAACATTGCTTACCATATAAAGCACATTGAGGAGACTGATGTGATTGGTGCGCCTTACAAATAAAATTGAATAGCCAGGGGTGTCTAACTCCAGGCCTCGAGGGCTGGTGTCCTAGAGGTTTTAGATATGCTAGGTCAACACACCTGAATCAAATAATTAGTTCATTTCCAGGTTTCTGGAGAACTTCAAGATATGTTGAGGAGGTAATTTAGCCATTTAAATCAGCTGTGCTGGATAAAGAACACATCTAAAACCTGCAGGACACCGGCCCTCGCGGCCTTTTCCCCCTCTTCTCTTTATCCTCATACCCCGAGTGACTATGACAAATGGCTGCTCCCCACTCTCTGAGCATTTTTCTGCCAATGGCTCTTCCTGTTCAAAGGGGTTCTTTCTTCCCTCTGTCACCATCTGCTTGATTGTTGTGAATCTAATTAAGGATGTTGTCCCTGCTTGTGAAAAACTTGACTCGATTGGGCTGGGTTGGTGCATTGATGTGTGCCTTTAATGACCTTCACTTCCTGTCTCAGCAGACCAAAGCCTGGTGTATTTCCACAGATGGTCACTGGAGGGAGATAAAGTGCAAACATACAAACATAGGTTAAATCAATCCATGCCTGCATAAGTAGATGGATTGAGGCAAAGGTCAAGGCTTGTCAACATGAATACTGTACTTCTTTATTTTTTTTTATTATTCCACTATGTTTAATTATTCAAACCTCATGTTTAAAACTGCTGCTGTCACTTTTTCCCTGTGATGAAAAGCATCATTTGGTAGACCAAATTAAAGCCACATTAAATATTGTGATTCATATTTATGCATTCGCTTGGAGACAATATCAGTGTGTGAACGACTTTCTTCTGCTGCCTCTCTCCATCTGCTCTTGCTTGTAGCATTTTAACTGTCGTGTCCCAGCTTTCCCTCCTTCAGAAATATAGCAGATTCAGCTTTATTAGTATCAGCTCTTAGTATCGCCTCATGGTTGTACTTGATGTTACCTGCTTCTGTATGCACAGATGCAATCACTTACATAACAGCCACTGCTGCTCAGCGGTTGTGGGGGAGGATGATTTATGCTGACACGGTGTGCACCATCATGTCAGAGACAAATGCAGCTATTTATTTACAGACACACATACATAGTGTGATATATTCCCACTGGTCTGTGTTTGACGTCATCTTACCAGTAAGTCACACTGCGACGAATGACTTCCTGCTCTTTTACACTTACACACACGCACACGCACACACAGACAGACTGACTGACTCAGCCTGCGGCAGCAGAAAGAAGTCACTGATATTGATTACAAAAAAAACAGAAAACCATCATCTGTTTCCCATCTCAGTAGAGAAAATAAAGTGGTGCTGTTTTTTATCCCCATCCTGTCTCCTTAGTTTACAGCAGCTGTCAGCTGGAGTGGCTCTTCTTAGATGCTGAATTTTCCTGGGTTTTTACAACAGTGGAAGTGTCTGTGGGTGTATGTGATGGTGCATTCTTGTCTGATCTGAGCTGTAAAAGAGGACACTCTGTATGGATGAATATTTTAGGTGAAATTCCTCGCTATTTTTGGATGTCTTTCTGGCTGTGTTTTTGTTTTATTCTGTCTGATGTGAGTTGGTTGTGAAGTGCTGCTTCGAGCATCTCCAGAGGTTCTGTTAAAATAAATACAAAATCTATTATTGAATCTTAATCTTGTCTTTTCTATCCTACACAGCAGCCTCCAGCATGAATTTAAAATTTTATTGCAACAAAATAACCACATTTATAATTAGTTCTTACCTCCACATATAGATAAAAACACAAATGTGTTGGTGTGGAACGATGGCGGTATGTCTCGTCTCAGTGACTTATCAATAACAGAAGTACAGTGATTGAGTACATGTTCAAGGAGCCAATCTGAAATGACTTGAGTTTTATGATTTGGTATATTATGATGGGTAAATGATGCGTACACTTTCATCATAAAGGAATGGACATGGTCATGTCAAATCTAACCCTTGAGCCGGGCGATCGTGGCTCAAGAGTTGGGAGTTCGCCTTGTAATCGGAAGGTTGCCGGTTCGAGCCCCGGCTTGGACAGTCTCGGCCGTTGTGTCCTTGGGCAAGACACTTCACCCACTGCCTACTGGTGGTGGTCAGAGGGCCCGGTGGCGCCAGTGTCCGGCAGCCTCACCTCTGTCAGTGCGCCCCAGGGTGGCTGTGGCTACAATGTAGCTTGCCATCACCAGTGTGTGAATGTGTGTGTGAATGGGTGGATGACTGGATATGTAAAGCGCTTAGGGGTCCTTAGGGACTAGTAAAGCGCT